CTGGCCTTACTACTAGGAACAAGGACGCTACTAGGGGCTCCTGGCCTAACTTACTATAGGATTCCTTCATGCAAGCCAGCGCTTTGCAGGCTTGATGGACACAATGATGGATTCATGACCGAGGCCAGGAACGCACGTGCTCAACGCATGGCTGGATTCCTGGTTGGTTCACCTCCACACATCAACGAGACCCAACGTCTCCTGCACCTATCCGACCTATCTCCACACATGCTGTGCTCATGCCGCCTGTGCTTGTGCCCTGCCCAGCTGGTGTCGTTGACAGCGCTGGGCAGCGATCAATACTACCTCAAAGCAGTCGGGGCAGCTCCACAGGCAGAGTGCAACTTGAGTGATGCTATTTCTCATGCCCGAAGCTTTGCGAGCTTCATCACTTCTTGGGCGGTTCTTGGAAGATTGGTGCAGAACTTTGTTACTCATAGCTTGTTACTGGTAGCAATGCCAGGAGCTACTAGTAGCGTCCTTGCTCCTAGTAGCGATGCCCTTTGTTACTAGTAGCTTCTTGTTTGTCAGCATGTGGAAGAACTCGACACAGCAAAGGCGATGCCTTCTTCATGCTTTGACATCATTTCTTCAATTGCATGAACTTGGGTGGAGTTGTCCACTGGCCATTGATTTTGACCTCGCTCTTTTCTTGGGGAGGCACAGTCTGCTCATCCGGATGGCTTACTTCTTGGCCGTCACCTTAGCCTTCTCACACGGAACATTTTATGACGAGATTCGAGAAACCACTGTGCCTGCATGACACTACCATATTTCTATTGGTGTTAGACTTTTTAAACAACTTCACGTTCCGTTTTCTGGGACAACCAGGTGTCCGCTTCAGCGAACGCATGGAAGCAGGGCTTGAGGTGCGAGTGCTGCATGTGGCACCCCTGCAGGTGCGCTGGACCCACGTGCGCTGGACTCACGGGAAGCGGCATTCGTCGGTTCAATGGTACACGGTACTGGGAGGGAGAAGGAAGTTGGGTCTGGGAGGTTTCTTGTGGGGAAAACAGTTGGGTCCTTTTCTTTGGCGGAAATCTAAAGCTATCTTGGCAGAACATGCCAAACTTTGAAGAGATGCTCAATAAGACTTGTTCATTGAACTACCAACTCAAACTATTTGAAGGAGGGTTGTGTGACCATACTGTAGGGGAGGTTTGCTGGGTTTTATCGCTCCAGGTCGCGGTCAACGCGACCCGGCGAATCCTGGCGTTGCGGCCTGGATGGAGGCCGACACTATCTATGAACGAGACAAGATACTAGTAGTAAGGCCAGGAGCCTCGTTCGTAGCGTCCAACAACGGTGTTTTGCAAAAGAAAGACCTTGTGGAAGTGACACCTCTTGTCCGGCCAGGTCGGACTCGGAGTCTCGGGTTGGGTGCTTGGTGCTTTGTGGCATGGAGGACAACGGACTTGGACTGGTCTGCAAGCAGTGGTAGAGTAGTTCTTCAGCGTTCGATGACGGGATGTTTTTGGCGCTGCGTTTGCTCAGATGCTGGAATTGGCCCCGGGTGGCCGTGCAGCGCTGCATTGGCGCGGTGGCCAGGAGTGGGTTTAGATCACCATGAGTATCACCATGCCCGGTGGATACGGATCTCAAGTTAGACAGCTGGTTTGCATATTCCACGAAGTCATTTCACATGTTCTTGATTGTTGAATGAACAGGTTCTTTGTTGTAAAAAGAGCTTGGCATCTACCTTTGCCACCCAAACCTAAACCTACACAGGTACAATTTGCCAGGCAACGTATGTTCTTGGGTAGCTCTATCACTTGCCTGACAACACACGGAGGAGCTCCTGGTGCAGGCTCGCATCAGCGACCTCACAGGCTCTTGGTCACGCTGGTCTGGACGGCTGCCCGTAGGCAGGTCCAATTTTTGCGCTTGTAGTAACAAGTGCCTTACTAGTAGTAACAAGAAGCTACTAGTAACAAGTGCATCGCCACTAGTAACAAGTGCCTTACTAGTAGTAACGAGTCTCGATTGATTGTGCTTTACAAAGGCTGAGACGCCTGACAGAGTGAAACCTCACATCGCCGCGACAGAACAAGACGCAAGTGTGAGGCCTCCAACCTAATAGCGATGGCCTCCAACCTACTAGCACACCTCAATGTTCTTTTGATATAGTGACCAGCATCGACTGTATTGGTCAGGCAGTGTGGGCGAATATTCCTTCCAAAGCTGTTGGGAGAAGATGAGCGAAGTGGTCTTCGAGAACTTCCGGGTCGAGGCGCTTGGCGGTCAGCAGAATTGATTCATGGCCCTTGAAAGCATCTTGTCTTATCTTAGAGTGAGGCATCTAGTTTCTCCGGATTAGAAGATTTCAAAACACAAACGCCGGCAAGAGCAATTCAGCTTCAGTTCCAGGATTGGCAGAGTTTGAGTCGTTCAAGTTGCGAGGTGCGAAATGTGGAGGCGACGACCTATTTTGTCTTCCGGGAGGCCCGAACTTGAGAGGAGATTTGGATCGACCTCTAAGAAAAGGATCCTTGAATTATGAGTTTCTTTCCAAATCTGCATTAAGTTTTCCAAAAGATCTAGGAGCCAAATCAATCAATCATGCGAACACGAATGCTTCTGCATCCCGGTCCAGAGTAGCTATTCAAACTACTTCAAGCTACTTCAAGCTGCTAGCTGCCTGTAGTCCACCCTCCCACACAAAAGGGACAAGGAGGCAAGAAACGAAAGAAACGGGAGTCTGCAGCAGACTTTTGCGTCCGGAGTTGGCTGAAATCCCTGAGGCAGGAAAGAGTGCACCGATCCTCTTGAGGAATTTCAGTGTAGAGCCTTGGCTGAAATTTCTTCGGCGGACAAAATGGGCAGACTCGGTGGAATTGACGGAATTCGCTCACAGGAACCTCTTCTATTCCAGCAGGAGCTCCCACATGACCGGTTCGGCGAGGACTGCGGAGATTGCATCCTTTTTCTTTTGCACGCTGGCGACTCATGGGCGGTTGGAGGACTCTGAAGATGGCGACAAGCGACAGCATCTTTGCTGCAAACCAAAGCGCATGACCACCAGGACTTGAGGCAGACTAACATTACATAATAGTTTGAAGATCGGCATTTTTCCCAGACAAAATGGTCCATGTGCAACAATAGTTGAATAGTTGTTGATAGTCGCATGCCTTGCAGTTGGCCGAGGCGGTGGTTCAGAGCAAGTAGCTTCACCAGCAGCAGTCTGAACCTGAGCGTTCTAGGTTTCCCAGATTTTGTCCAGCAAGTAGCGTTCAAGAGCCTCAGAAGTCCTGGTCGGGTCCTTTTGGAGAAGTGTTTCTGAGTTCAGCCGACGAGACCATGGTTGCTCTCAGAAGTATCACACTGTCGCCACATCATTTATCTTCCAATGTGGCTTTGAGCATATTGGTGATGTGGCTGTGGGTCAACACCGGCACACTCTGGGTTGACCAAGCATAAACAGAATGGACGATGAAGGAGGTCAACCTAGTCAACCTACCTCGGTGAAAGGGGATCCGGGTTTTGATCCGGCCATGTGACTTTTCACGACTTGATGAGACCCTAGTAGCGATGCACTTGCTCCTAGTAGCGATGCCAGGAGCCCCTAGTAGCGTTCTTGTTACTGCTAGTAAGGCACTTGTTACTAGAAGCGATGCCCTTTGTTCCTAGTAGCGTTCTTGTTACTACTAGTAAGG